AAAGCCTGCTGAATCTTGCGAATGGTTTACACTCGGGTATCGCCAAGGTTTTTGGCAAAATTTGATGTAATATCGCTGCTCACGTTGTTCAGTCATTTTCCAGCTTAGTGAAATCCGACGAGAGCGCACTACATGACCTCACTCATACGCCGATTGCCAACGACTGACGCTTTCTGCAGGTGGGAAAAAATTCAGGGCTGTGCATGACTGTCCCCTCCACAACTCCACCGAAGGAGGCCTCTCTCGCATCATTGGTTTACGCGGAAAAAAATAAGGTCTGATACTTTTTGAACAGACCTTGTATATGAACTAACAAGTAGAAACTTGTAAAGCATATATAATAATATGCAGCAAGAAACCTCAAAATTTCTCTTTTAGGTGAGTCTTCAAGATGCAACTTTTCATATAATAAATAATAGAAAGAAAATCTGACATGGTAAATTATTATTGAAATGTGAGATTTCCCAGGAAAATAAAATTTCCCGGGATTTTTCTCGTAGGGAATAAACGGCGAGAATCCTGGGAAAACGGGATCCCGGGAAAGAAACCCTACTTGGGGCGTTATCAATCAACAACAAAACATTTCCAGAATTTCCAGTTTTAAGCTGATGCTTTTTGACTTCAGGGATAAATACAGTGTCATACCATTCTATAAAAATGGTTGTATCCATCCATGAATTCTTTTGATTTTTGTAGGTCATCGGCAATTTTTTATTCCTTTAAAGCACTGTGGATTTTTGGATTTTCCTACGATTAGCAAAGGTAGCCTGTATGTTCTGGTAACATTTCCACATACCATAACAGTGATGCATAATTTGCTTACCTTAAAACCAGGTGCTGACATTTCATTCTTAGAAATTAGGGTTTTTGTTGGCATTTTTTTCTAATACAAACCAGTTTAGTCTGCATTGTAGACATTGGTTTTTTTGTAGTCTTCCTTATCGATCATGTTCTTAAAAAACTCTTTCAAACTTTAAGCTGATTCAGTATCAGTGGACAGTTTTTCATCCTGGATATCCAATTCCCTAATTCCATGCCTAGATTTGAAATGCTTAAGCCAGCCGGAAGTTGCTTTAAAATCAGTGTTACCACCTAGTTTCTTGTTCATTTCAAGAGCTTTTTCACAGATCAAAGGGCTACTTATTGGTTGTCCTTGGCTATGTACCTGCATGAACCACGTGAAAACTGCAATGTCCAAATCCTTGTTTTCTGCCATTCTCATCGTTTTTCTGTGCAAGCTTCCGTCTTCACTGTCAAGTACACGTGCAAATTTTTTAATGTCATCACTGTTCTTTTTAATGTCCGATATTATGGCATTTCCAACTCCATATTTCCAAGCTAAGCTTGATCCACTAGCACCACACTTCAACTGATCTATTATTTTAAGTTTATCAGAAACACTGAGAACAATGCGCTTACGTTTACTGGCCATTGCAAACGTTACAACAACTACAGAGCAATCTGTTACAAGTAAAAAATTCATGGATGCAAAGTTAATGTCCCTGGTGAAAACAGATTTTGATTAAGCACGACACACGTCCGGATACAGAGTCCTCAGAAAAACACTACATAAAAATACCAGTGCTGCCAGTTAAAACACATACACAAACACGAAAATATTGGAGTAGCCCAAGACATAGCCAAAGATTGCAGTGCCACAGCACTAATGAAAATTTAAATTTGCCAACTAAAATTCTTTCAGATAACCGACTTTCGGATAAACAACACTCTACTCTATTTAATAATTGCAATCCCATAACAGAAAATTATATACATTGGATGATCGGTTAACGAACAAATCGGATAATGAACACTTTTGTGAAAGATTTTTATGTTCGGACAACAAACACTTCACTGAACAAACATAAAAAGAATTGACGTAAAATAACAAATACCAATTAATTTTCCCTTGTCTTCAGGTAACAATTCGAAACTTTTTGGAGCGCGGAGATGTCAACATCGATGTTCAACCTGGTGTATATAGTGATCGGATAGTATTCATCTGAACTTTGAAATTCTTTTTTGTAATTCCAGCCTTTTATTTTCTGATAAAAGGAAATTTTTTATAATATTTACGAGATTGTCAGGCAGGCACTTGTTAAGTTTTCTGTCGGTTTTTATTTTTGAAAGGTGAGAGTATAATAGCAAAAGTAGAGAGTGGACAGAAGATGTTCAATGTTGCTGCGCAGTATGGCTCAAACAGGTCTACAGTAAGCCGTAGTTAAATTTTATCTAAGAAAGATATTGCAAAGAAGACTCAAGAAGCTAAAGGAGAAACAAAAATCACATCTGAAAAATAAAGAACATTGAAAAGCTCACAATGGAACCTGAAACGGATCTGATGACAGAAGAACGCCAAAAACTCTTAAATGAATAACACCAAGAAACTCAGCAAAATACGTTTTCTTCTGAAAAAGACAATTAATGTTGATATCTGCTATTAAACATTTTTTTCAAGAAGTGGGATATCAGAACAACGGTCTTAGAATGGCATCCAAACCACGTTGATGTTAATATACTTTCTCACTACATTTATTTATATGTATTTTTATTACATATAAATAAATGTAGTGAGAAAGTATATATTTTTTATTTTTTGGGTCCAGAACAAATTAATAAAATTCCCATAAAAACTTATGGTAAATCGATAATTGGATAATGAACAAACTCTTGGAATGGATTATGTTTGTTAACTGATCACCCACTGTACTGTATTTCCTCAATTCTAAGACATTTTTTTAATATGTATCTTAACTTGTCTGAAATAGAAATGCATAATACAATCAATGGCATCTTACATTTATAGTCTAAATCAGTGGTGCACAAACTGTAATTATCTCATGACCTCTCTGGGCGTCAAAAGAGAATTTTTCAGGGTCACTAAGTTCAAAGAAATTTATTTAACAATAAAAAATATAAGGCTTTTCTTCAACAAATATCAGGTACCAGTAAAATAGTGAAATGAAATTATTTATAAAAATTGAACTATATTTTTTACAAAAACAATTGTCTGTATTAGTACCTATTATTTATACTTTGGCAACCAGCAGGTGAACAGACACAGTGATACTGATAATATTGCGGCAATAAAAATACAATTCATGACAACAGAAACAGATGTTGACATATGCATATTTATCTTGCAGTGAAAGAGTATATAATCACAGCAAAGTAGCAATCATGAGTAGGGTTTCTCATTTCCCGGTCTTTTGCTTGTTCCATGATTTTAGGATAAAAGTGAACTGTTTTCTGGGATCCTGGGACAAAATAAATTTTTTTTCAGATATACAAAATATCACGAAATCAAATAATATAATTATTTTTCGTTTTAAAAGTAATTTAATACATTCTGTAACCTCCAAAATCATATTAACAATGCTGTGTAAGATATATGTTAAAAATTACCTTTGAATTATGTAGAAATTTTCACAAATAAAAAAAATTTATTAAAGTTTGCTGGAAACTGCAACAACAACAACAACAACAACAACAACAACAAAAATACTTTGAATTGAGTTAAAATTTAAAAAAAATAAATTTACATCAAACTTCTAACTAAGAAGGTAATTTTCGTTTTTTTAAATAACATATAATATAAAATATTGTAAATTTTTATAAGATTTTAAAAAGCAAAGATGGTCAATACTCTGTTCACTCAATCTAATTGTTATTTTAGTAATGAAAAGTCTTGCTACTGAGAATGCCTTTTCTGATTCAATTGATGTGATTGGAATCGTGTTTAATGTATTGTAGAGAAGACAAATATTATGTGTTTTTCACCTGTATCCTGAAAGATTTCTAGTTTGTTTTCGAGATTGTAGTACTTCTTTTGCTCTCTAGTATTCTTGATTTGTCTACCTCAGCTGCTGTAATAAACATCAAGCTTATAGCCCGATAATTTGGCAATTCGTTTGGCTTTAATAATCAGGTTTATGAAGAAAAACTTCATACTTGCAAACTTCGTACTCGTTTGTATCCTTGCCCAGTTTGCACAACTTGGTGTTACACAGTTATTGAAGATACTGGGCATGGTTCAAAATTACGACAGCATAAACACAATTATTCCAGATATTATAGGTAGAGAATTTTGAGAGTCCTGCCACAAATAAGCTATGTATTGATTATTGACCATTTGTGACATTCCATAATGAGCAAAAATTAAAAAAACTAATAAGTAGGTTTAAAATTAATAAATACAAATGTATTCTGACAGTTTTTGAGTTAATTTTATTTTCTATTTGCAAAATTTCCTCAACCTTAACACAAAATAAGAAAAAAGTGAATTTTAAGAAATTGGGGGTTTCCTGGGATAAGAAAAATTTCCTGATTAAAAGAACAACTGGTATTCTGGGATTCCATTTGAGAAACCCTAATCATAAGCTCTCTGCAAGCACATACCTCACATTGAATTCTAATGATGTACAGTTTTTTAAAAGTATTTTTCATTAAATAAATATTTATGCCCTTATGCATAAATAAAACCATTGTTTCATAAAATTATGTTTTATTCAGACCACTAATAAGGCAGAAACATAAGTGCAAATTCCAAAAAAAGTTTCACTTTAACTATGTTGATGATTAAAAAAAAAGTCTACTGTCTATCCAGTGGTTGTGATGAAATTTTACACAAAATAGGGGGTCAAAAATAAAAACAATTTGCGCACTATTGGTCTAAATAACAATTATCATTTTGAACAGATAACAAGTTAGATCATGCATGGATAATAATGGACATATTTGACTATATTGTTGAACAGTTATATCAGTTCAAATGAGTTTCATTGTTAATGAGTTCAAGTGAACTTTGTTACTAATGTTAATTAATTTAAACTGCTTTTTTCTATTTAAAATGTCTTGAAGACAACAACATTAAATGAAAATTCATTGTCTATGCAAAAGAGCATGGAAATAAAGCTATCAAACATTACACATAGGATTTGTTTTTTTCTAAATTATTATTTAACAAACAACAAAAATTAATTATTTAAAAATTTTTTCTGAGAAAGTATTTTAAAATTCAATCTCAAATCATAATGCATCTTAAAATCAGTGGCTAAGATGCCATTGATTTTTATCTCTAAAAAATCACAGTATATCTTTTAATAAATATAATAAAAATTATCTTACATTTAATTTTTTTAAAAATGGCATCCAATGTTTTTCCATTAAATCTAAGCGATATTTTTTTGTAAAACATCCAACATATGAAATAAATGCCGCTGTAATGAGGATGTCTCCTGGTAAAGTTTTTTCTTGTATTTTATAACGTTCAATGCTTTCAGTCCATCTTACTTTTTCTGAAGCTAATCCATTCACTAATCTATTGGCAAGAGATATTTTTTCATTTGTCTTTTCAGCCTCTTTTTCAATTTTCAGTTTTTCATCTGCAGCTTTTTGAAACTGTTCTTTTAATGTATTTAATTTTTCTTCTAATTCCTTTTAAAAATATACAAATATATATGTAATTTTAGTAGAAATACAATAAAAATTATAACTTGAGAATAATAATAAAAATATAAAAAGTTAAATAATCAAAAAATAAACATTTTTATATTTTTATATTATAATCTTATTTATTTCATATATTTTTTTATGTAAATATATCTGTTGAAGAGTGCATGAAATATTGTGTGACAGAAGTGCATCATTCTTCTGTCAACCACTTCTGAAACTAATCAGAATCAGTGTTTCATTCCATGGTACATGATCTATATTCTGCCAATCACACAAGTCTTCACACTCCAGCAAATGGGAAAAGAAACTGCCATCATTTCTCTCTCTCACTTTAAATATTTAATCAGTCATTTCAACCTAAATATACTGTACAGACATCAATGTGTCAAAACTGTGATTGCATTATTACTTTTTTAATAGTAAATTACTATAAAACATAAATAATTTAAGAATTATAATTTTAAATATAATAGTAAATTAAAAGAAGTATACAAAAATGTAATTCAGGTATAAAAGTTGAGAATTTCAGATAGTAAACCTTGCATTTTATATTGGTAAGTATTGTGAATGTCAGCATTGTATTTTATGAGAGGATTTTAGTTATTATTATTATTTTTTTTAATCCTTAAAAATCAACAACTTCATGTTAACAAAAAGACTAAAAAAGTGATTATTCTCTAAGACAAAATTAAAGTGCTAAATCATAGTTGCTGAATTTCCTCTTGAAAATCAGAGAAGAAATTCGACAGCTATGATGGCTTGTATTTTTGTCATAAATAAATGTACCATGCAATACATTAAGAAAAAAGAAACAGATATTAGAAATGTATTATAGTACAAAATCTTCTCATATGAAATTTTGTTTTTTTTTTAATTTTCTGATTATATACTTTTTAAAATCTCAATCTCATATTTTCAATGTATTTCTTCTTTCTGTATTTGTGGCAATTTTGCAGAATATAATCCTAGCAAATATGGAACTTCTACTAAACTAAAACATATTAATATTGGATATAATTTAAATAAACTTTCATTGGAAAATTTTAATTCAACCATTACAATTTTATAATCCAATTTATAGTAATAGATACCTATAAATTTGTTTTCCTGATGTAAACAGATGATGATAATTATATCTTTATTATATAAATATCTTGAATACTTCATTTATTACTTACTATAACTTTAGCTTGTATTTGTTCATATTTCTCTACAGCTATTTCCAATTCTGTTTTTGCTTCATTTAATGCTATTCTTTTAGGTTCAACTTCACAATAAACCTGTAAGAAATGATTGAAAATAAAATTAATATTTCAAAACAATAAAATTAATAATTATATAAAAATTTAATTTTTTTATAATTTTCCAATTGTAAATATTTATTGTCCTATAAAATTATTAATTCCATTAATTTGAAGTAAAGTTTAAAATCTTATTACCAAATAATACAAATCTAATTAAAACATCATAAAAATAAAGTTCAATAGTATAAAAAATAAATGTTACAATCATAGTCTAGCTGAGTGTTTTCTTACATGCTCTTAAATTTAGAAAAGTTTATAAATACTAAACAGTAAAAAATCTTTAACCAGCAACAGTTTTTATAAGGAAAATCAAACATTTTTAGCTGTTTTCTTTTTTCAGTCATCATCAGCATATCAGAACATTATACTCCATTCTGATATTCATTCCTGATGATAGCTGCTAGACCAGTTGAAACAATTTGATATTCATAGTAAAAATTCTTGTTGATAAAGTTCTATCATCAATACAAATAACCAATAAGGAATATTTTATTTTTGTATTTAAAAACTATAGACTTAGATTATGATGATAAAAATAACGTAAACACAATTTGATATTACAATGTTTAATTTTATCTAATTAAATTGTCTTTTTCCCAATTAAAAAAGTTAACAGTGCAACCATAATAATAGTTGAAGTAAGTCACATAGGTTTCACTTTAATTTTTTTCATTTGAATTTTGCACCAAAAATTTTTCTAATATAACCATCTCCTATGCCTCATTCTTCCAGTAATAATATATATTTTACTTTTCAATTTAATATAAACAAACAGTGATATTTCGAAAAATTCAAAAATTACATTTTCATGTGTAACCTTGTAAAAAATTTTCTCCAATATTGGGCTGTAATTAATCATTCACAGATATCTATTTTTGGGCCAATTTTTATCCCATTATCTGATGGAACCAATTCGCCATGCTTATCCTGCTATGGACTTTGAAGCAATATAGTATTTGGCACGTATATAAAAATATATATACAGTAGGGCATCAATTATCCAACTCAATTGGGGACTGGGGTTGGTCGGATAACTGAAAAATATGAAAAAATATATTATTAGTATAGTATATTAGTATATCTCATGTAATTAGTATATTAGTATATCGCTATTAATCTACTTCGCGTTGAATTTTCATTGATATTAAGCCTAACAAAAATTTTTTAAAATAATAATTGTCGCTATTGTATCATTAAAAATTAGAAAATTATGCCTCATTTAAATACTGGCTCCCTTTCATGGTCAAGCCATGTTGCCAGCTAAAACACATAAAAATACTATTAAAGTAGCCAAGACATAGCCAAATATTGTAGCACCACATCACTAGCGGACATTTGAAATTTGCCAACTAGAACAGTCGGTTAACCGATGTAACGGTTAATCGGGTTCGGATAATTGATGCTCTACTGTATATATTAACTAGCTTGAATTCAAGAGTTACATTATAATTTATTACAATAAGGATTTTTAACTTACTTCATAATACTTTATTATATTCAGTACCCATGAACATAATCCAGCAGCTGCAAATGATTTTTTCCTTATTATTTCAGGATTAAAGTTTTTATCAGTTATAAGAGGAGCAATTGCTTTCAAACAATTTTTATGTATATTTTCTTTGTCAAATGTAACCAATCTTTCCATAAATAAATCAACCTGAAGGAAAAAGCTTTTACGTAAAATTAAAATTAATAGAAAAAACATGATCTATAAATTCTTATAATTCTTATTTACTCAGTGTCAAGTAAAAAAAAGTAAATGTAAATTTAATAATAATAATTGTAATTATAATAAAAAGTTCAAAAACTTTCAATTCATAATAAAATAATATTTTATAATTTAATATGATTATAGATATATCTTCCTTACTTTATTTCTTGTGATAAATATTATGTTTATGGACCCTCTAATAAGTTAAGTATAATTGAGAAAATTACATTTAAGCAAGTAATTTGTTATTTTAAGATATAAATTAATAATGCTTGAAAAGTATTATAATGCAAATGCATTGATATTTTTGTTATCAACAGTTCAATCATTCCACATCATTAAAAAAATAACATAACTCAAACATAGCTTTATTTTGTAATTTGAGACATTATAAAATATCATTAACAGTTAATAAATATTCATCCCAAAAAAACAATGTTTCATTGAGATTATATGCAAAAAATTTGATGCTTACTTCAATTATTCTATTCATCTACTCAATTAAGCATTGTTGATATTAGTGAAAATCAAGAGCTATTAAAATTTTCTCTTATAAACAATTATTTGATTGATTTATCATCATTTTAAAGTAATAAAAGAAGTTGTAATGTATATAATTTAGGCATACATTTTAATATTTAAAAACAAAATATGTTTGTATTCATAGTTATATGACCAGTAATAATTTTCATTTGTTTATTTTAAATAGCCAATATTTATTTTATATTATTAATTAACAATTATAAATAATATAATTTTATCTTACTCTTCCCATCATTGCCTTAGCAGCTTTCCAACTACGATCTTTAGGTATTTGGCCATTTTTACATAATAAAATCATAACAGCAGCTGTCACTTTTTCAATTCCAGGTGGAGGTGATCCAAATGATTTCAATTCTGTTAAATTATTCTAGGTAAAAATTTTTAAAATTTTATTTATATCTTTATTATATAAATATCTTGAATACTTCATTTATTACTTACTATAACTTTAGCTTGTATTTGTTCATATTTCTCTACAGCTATTTCCAATTCTGTTTTTGCTTCATTTAATGCTATTCTTTTAGGTTCAACTTCACAATAAACCTGTAAGAAATGATTGAAAATAAAATTAATATTTCAAAACAATAAAATTAATAATTATATAAAAATTTAATTTTTTTATAATTTTCCAATTGTAAATATTTATTGTCCTATAAAATTATTAATTCCATTAATTTGAAGTAAAGTTTAAAATCTTATTACCAAATAATACAAATCTAATTAAAACATCATAAAAATAAAGTTCAATAGTATAAAAAATAAATGTTACAATCATAGTCTAGCTGAGTGTTTTCTTACATGCTCTTAAATTTAGAAAAGTTTATAAATACTAAACAGTAAAAAATCTTTAACCAGNCCACTTACCGGCGCGCTGTCAGAGAGTGGCTATAGGAGGGCAAAAGGAGTGGGAGGCGTAATGAAGTCGTGATGAGATGTCGATAGTACTTAACAAGAGTCATTAAATTAGGAATAACATATTTAATATAAACTTAAATATAAATACAAATACATTAAAATTACACATTAATTCTAAACAATATGAAAGTGATAATTATAATAAATTCCGAGTTGCGACAATATCGAACAACCGATGTCCGTCTATCCCGTAAGTGGGACCATCAAAGGTCCTCAACACAAAATAATTCTAAGTCCTATTCAAAGGAACAGATAAATAAATTCAAAGTTCCGAGTATATCGGCAAACGACAAATTTCTAAGTCCCAAGTATACCGACAGACAATATTTTCTAAGTCCCGAGTATACCAACAGAGAATGAAGTAAAAACAATCTAAGTATTTACCTCTTTAGGTCGGCGATCAGAAACCTTGAAGTCCTTCTAGAGTAGACGCTAGTAGTCTTCTTTCTTCGATGATCGCCTCGAGATCTCCGATCATTCCCCTTTTATACTTTTTTAGCGTGGGAAATCTCGAAGACTCTTCTGACGCAAACTGTCACTTCTCCCGATTTATGACAGTCTCCCCCGTCATGGGTGACGACAATGCAGACATCGCTTGACCAATTAATGTTAAATTTGTCATCACCTGGGGAGATGACTGACCATTTTTGGTAATGTTCTCACTGCAAGGGTGCCCTTGTAGGTGACCTCTTGTCTACTCTCTATACAGGAACACCCATCCGTCTCCGTCCACCGGACACTCGCAGGAGACTACTCTTTTACAAGGTGTCTGCGGTGTGACCAATTAGTAAAAACAAACAAACGTCCCGGGGAGAGGGGAGTTATTCCGCGGTCGCCTCGGACGACTTCGTCCTAGGGATGACCTTCTTGACGGACGAATTACGCAGTTCATTATCCGGGGTCTATTCCTCGGACATTAGAGTGAGAACGGGAGAAATAACGGAAATAATGACGAGAGAAAAAAAAATTTCTCATACGTTAGTCAGAATTTCACATAACCAATATTTAAATATCTATCCAGAGAAAAAGATCAAATTATTTTTAAAATGCCACAATAGAAATAAGTTAATGAATTCAGTAAAATAAACTAAATCATTTAACAAAAGGGACAATGCATCTACAGCTGATTTGTTACCAGCATGATGGTATGCTAACTCATTCCCAGACAGACATGCATCAGTGGCTCACAGAGCAATTTTGTAACTGAAGCATCAATTTTTGCATTGATGCCTTCATCCTTTATAGTCAGAGATTATTTGTATGTTATAATAAATTGTCTTAAATTAATTCTCATTGGTTATTTTAGTGCTGGAACAATCATGTACAGTACCAATTACATACCAGTGGAGTGCCATGACATTTGATGATAGGGAAGCTGTGTTTCCATAAAAATTTTAAACAAATACTGGAAATGGCAAAAATAACAGTTTATTTAATTTTTAATTCTAAAATAGATAATTGACATGAAACAAAGTTATAAAAACTTGTTTTTATTATTTTTATAAACTAACTCTATTTGGCAATTTTTCTCGCAAAGTTGTTAATTACTTTATCATAAAAATAGCTTGTCATTGATTCCATCAAAGTATTTAAAAGCTCTTTTTCTATTGAAAGTAATGCTAGTGACAACAATCTTTCCTCTGACTGAGTGTTCCTTGCAAAAGTATGAATTTGCTTCATGGTTGTAAAACTTTGCTCAACAGATGCACTCTTAGATNTATAAGCAGTCGTCCACAACTATATATCTTGATGACCCACTGCTCACGCCCTGATCCTCTTGGGCTCTAAGCAAATCGCGTTTTATGGGCCCGAAGTATTCATCTCTATCTTGTGATAACTTTATGTCGTGCTTATCGGGGGCTATGTGGGTTGGGGGGCCCGTGTTCAAGCGGTATATCTCATTGACATTCCTCGACAGAAAATCTGCTACTTTGTTATCCACGCTTGAGGTCAGCTCCAACTTTACGTGCTGGTCATTTGTCTGACCGTCCAAATGACCCCCCATTAGTTTTAAACTCTTATCTTTTTTACAATGTTTCGCTAGGTGCCCCCTTTCTCCGCACGAGTAACACCTTCTATCACCTCTCTCCCTCCTACTGAAGTTCTCATTTCCCTTAATACATTCAACCAAAGAAGCCACCGACTCGCCTAACACCCGAACTTGTCTCTCGAGACCCGCTATTCGACTATCAATCCTATCCACTCTCTCAGTGAGCACCCCTTTTTGTTCTGAGTTCATGTACACTTCGCTTGTGATCCCTCTCTTCCCACAAGCTGCTTCAGTCGCCTCCTCCTCTTCTGCCTTCTGAATGGCCTGGTCCAATGTTTCTGGCCGGCTCTGTATCACTTGCCCGCGAATGTCGAACTCCAGCCCCTTCATGAAACACTCCTTCACGGCATTATCACGGATGGTAGCGAGGTTCCCATTGCGAGCTACAGCCCGTGAGAACAACGATTTGACGCGGACACCGTATTCGTAAACCTTTTCCCCTTTCTTTTGCGTTATTTTCAACAATTGGTGGAAGGGGTCCTGATCCTTGTCCCTCCGGCCGAAGCATTTTAACAGGCCTTCCTTAATTTCCTCATACCGAGTGACCCCTTGGTCCTTTAAATCGAAGAAGACTGACAATGGTTCCCCCTTAAGCCTAGCCTTGACTACCGTCACTTTGACTTTTTCTTCCCAACTAGCCAACAATGCCACGTCTTCCACNAAAAGATTTAAAGGTTTCCAATTAACAAATGAAAATTTAATCACTATCTATTAAAAATAATTTATTGATTTAATATGAAAATTTAGATTTAAGTTTTATTCATGTTGAAAAATCCAATTTACAATCTAAACAGTTTTACATTCACAAATTAGCATTTTTAGGCTGCTTAGATTTCATCTGCAGATGTTATAATGTTTGAGTATGAAAAAATTTAATCTTAAAACAAAATTTTTAGAACATATAATCATAAAAGTCTACTATGTATGCATCATGACCATAATTCATTAGATTAGAATTCTATAAACTGAAAAACATTATAATAAACATGAAAAATTAAGGAATTCTAAATTACAGAATCATAATATTATAAAGATAAAATAAACTCTACAGACATTAAATCTACCTTCCCTGTGGCAATAAGTATATGTGCATCCCCATTTGTAGTTGTTATAAATGGTAAGATAACTGGACTTGTTTGCATTTTAAATAAAATTTATTTAATAAATAATTGAGCTATGGTTTACAAAAAAATTACTTCAATCATTCTAACAGTCATCTCCTTGCAAGTATTACTTGTCCAAAAAATTGGACACGATAAATTTACATACACCTAGCATTAGGCAGATGTTACTTGATTGGACATACACATTTTATGCTGTTTTGTGTATTGCTTAACTGGCAATATGCAAATGAAAGGAGCTATAAAATCTTCTGTAGTTTTTGCATTGTTCAAAGTGTAAAGAATGGCAAAACAGAGGCTTGGACTGCAAATATGCTATAATAGCAAAATGGAATAGCTATACAGCAAATTGCTTGAGAACTGCAAGCTGGTTAAAACAGCAAAGTTCATCATTCACTTTCACATCATCAAAAGCAACAGAAAAAATTTTCCAAGAAGTTCAACAAACACTTTCTCTCATGTGAAAAATTCAAAACTGGTAACATTAGACAAAGCTTAGATGTATTATACAACACAGGTAAAAGGATGGTTTGTTATGGAAGTAAAGTATGCATCAAAGAGAATGAATGGTTTGATTTTGCTGAAATGGCAAATTTACTATTTACAAATAGAGGACATTATTTCAATATATTTATACATGGAGATAAATAGATAGTACTACTGTGACAAGGTATTACAGTATTTGGCAATATTCAGCATTTCTGTGCACAGAGGGACTCCAGAAAAGTGAAAATTCATCTTCGCCCAGCATTGTTTCACTTTTCGGCCAAGACAATGGCTTACATGACTGAAAAAGAGAGGAAAAAATCCAAGTTATTTCCAAAGACCAGACTTCATGCCAATGGATTTTTGTGTATTTGAGTTGCTCAAGCAAGCTCTTTGGAAACACAGGTGCACCACTGTAGAAAGACTTTGATATGCTTTGAAACTGGAGTGGAAGAAACTTTCTATGGCAATAATTAGATGGACTTTGGAATCCTAAGAAAGAAGGTTTCATTTGGTGAATAAATGCAATACTCTCATATCAAGTATGTCAAACATATTAAGAATTAATTTTGTTCAGAATAAAACTTACGAAAGTCATTATATTTTTGCATTGTGACCATCTATACTAATATTACAAAGAGGTAAAGTTTGTAAGTTTGAATGTAGGAGGTAATCTCCGAAACGACTCATCTGATTCCAAAAATTCTTTCACCAATATTTAGAATGGAACTTCAGGGTGGACATAGGCTGTATATTAATATAAATTTATATAAATATTCATATTCATATAAATTCACATAAATTAATAGATATCATCTAGGATTAAGGCTTTTGTCTGACAGATGGTGCTAACTCTGCGAGTACAACAACCTAAGTTTGCTTTTCTGTGAGGATGAACTAAAGCAGATCATCTTCTATCTATCTATATAAATAAAAATGTAATGCTCATATGTTCCTACTGATTCCTTTGAAATTTTGAAACAATGTTGCATTCAAATATGTATGTGTTTTTATATAATATACATGTCAAAATTACCCCACTGGAAGAAGATGGACAGGATTAAGGTTTACCGTGAAGAACTCTGCTTCTATTTATACTATTTTAGATGCAGTTTTTTTGCGTTTTTGATTGTGTTTTAATAGAATATGTCAAGAGAATGTACACTACAAAGGGATTTTTCGAAAAATTCCCCCCACGGGGAAGTGTTATACATTTATAATAGATACATTTTGAGCCACAACAACGCGTGCAGGGTCTGCTAGTATGTTATAATTCTTTCAGATCAAACAAAATTATATCTTTTCATGCTATTGTAAAGATCCCCTGTTGAGCAGAGTCTGCAGGGTTGAACAAAAGGATACACGGACAAGTCAGCTCACAACAGTCAATTCCTTTTTAATTAAAATTCGTCAATCGCAATCGAGATATTTACATGAATCGCGAATCAATGTCACAATAAAACATCCGAATCAAAACAACGAATACAAACGTTTACCTCGTTCCTTTACCTCCCTTAACAATGAGGCTCACAACACGTGGCGAAGCGGAGCAAGAACGGCGCGTAACAAAGAAATTAACTAAGCACTACTCACGACAAAAGAAAAAAACTTGGTCGTGAACAAAACACTCGAAGAAACACTCCGTGCTGACGAGTCTTCCTTCAATCTTCCGTTATATGAGGGAGTTAGAGTCTATAACCGCACAGTTCCAATTTCGGCACCAATCCTTTCCTTTGTTCTCTCTTCAGCACTCCGACGCCAATCCTCTTCTTTCTTCCACTTCGGTCGAGCCAGGCATCCCAGGAACGAAAAAAATCCCTTACACAACGTGGGTCACCCCTTATATATCTAGTAAACCGGAAATACCGCACGTGATCCTCGACCAGCCAATCTGGCTGCCGATACACAGTTACCCATGGAAGAGTGGTAACGCGAAATAAAACGAAAGGGGCGAGAAAAAAAAAAAAGAAACCCGAAACGAAAAAAAGGAAATAGTCACGAAGTGCTACACTATCTTTAAGGTATAAAATAATAAACAAAAATAAATTAAATACTTTGTCCAATGTATTTAAAGCTTCACTTGCTGCAATTACTGCTGGTTCAGCTTTTGCTAAATCTTTTTCACAATCTTCTTTTTTTTTTGATACTTCTATAGTTATAGCTTCAACTTTATCCTTTTCTTCTGCAGCAATTTTTTTTTCTGCCTTAACCTTTTCAGTTTCAGCAGCAACTATTGTGAGCAGATGATTGGTGCTTTCAGTTTTTTGTTTAATTTGAATCTCTTGATCTGTTAAAATAATGTGTAATTTCTGAACCTGAAAAGTAATATAAAATTATCTTTACCTTTTATTTTTTAATTATGAATAATATGTTACAAACAATATGTATGTAACTGTATATAAGCCATTAAAATTATTAAATAATTGTAATAACCCATTTTTATTGTATTGAAAATATTCAAAATAAATTAAATTCAAACTGCTTTTCTAAGAGTAAAAACTTTTTAGAAAACTCTAGAAGTTTCAGGCAATGCATTTGTTATCAGGAATAAACAAAAGATTTTTCTCTTATGTTTTTCTCTTATGATTTTTCTCAATGAATGCAGTCTTAAAACTGCTAGAATTTTCTACGAATTTTTCATTCCAAATTAGCTCAAATTTGATTTATATTTTAGGAACTTCCTTAACAAATATATTAATAGGAAAATATTTAATTTAAATATGCTTATTTTGTATGTAATATTTAATATTTTCATATTAAAATATTATAAGTAAAGTATATTCATACTTTAATATAAAATTGCAATATGAGTTTTGATTTTTAATAAAATAAAATTTGATTGTAACATGCAAAATTTGTAAGTATGCTAAAATTACAATCAATAGTGTATATAGGTTATAAAATGTATAAATTCATCATAAAAGATTTACAAGCTTGACTGCAGAACAAAGAATTTAGATTTAACATGAATAAAATTGTAATCATCATAACATTTGATAACAACCAAACATATCATACAGTAGATATTGTTTTAACAATATTTTTGTATGATACATTTTTGTTATTTCATTCAAAATAAGTACATAGATTAACCTATTAATTCCTAAAATATTCTATATCTCTTTTCATAAGTTGTACTGCACCACACTACTTGTTTTTGCAGATAGCCAGCTTAGTCAAGCATATTGTCAGCAAAAAATCAAAAATGTAGCAAAGGTGGCAAATTTCCTATCATTTTCTGATTTTTTGACAAATTTCCTGACTTTCCATGACTTTTTCTAAACACTAATGAAAATTTCTGATTTTTCCCGACTTTCCAGGTGTGTAGGAACTCTGAACATAATATATTTGTCAAAAACTTTGTATTAACTGATTCAGATCCAAGTTTGGATCAAAAACATTTATAATGTTAATTCAACTATTTGAAATTAACTGTTTATTAATAATTTTTTTCTAATATGATTCAAGATTCTGCATTTCGCATGCAAATAAATATTAAATTTAAAAAGTTTGTTGATAATGTCAATGTAAAATACAGTTATATCCTCGATTTACGCCAATTCACATTAATGCCACTGCACAATTTGCTATTTCGCTGTGTAATTCCTTGATTTTCCCTATGCTAGATTTGACTAGTTTTTGTCCATATTTGACCAATCCTAGTGAGACACGAGTCCACTACAACACTACGTGTCATGGCAGAATTGTGGCTCATTGGGATTGGTCAGATCTAGACCAATAGAGAATGTTCCATGAACCGTTACATTTGAATGAGCTGCAGACTTGACGTAGAGCTACAGAAGAACAATGAAGAAGAAACTCCAAGAATTATGAAAATGGCTGATCTAAAGTGTATCCTTTCAACTGTGGATAGTTTGACAGATTAAACTTTGTGAGTTAGACAATGATTGGGAGCGAAGTGCAAATGTAAAAAGGAGCATCATCACATCCATTCGACCATATTCCGAAATTATTAATGAAAGAAAACAAAAATTTAAACAATTAAAGATGGATACTTTTTCAAAAAAATGTAAGAGATCCGAAACTAAAATTTTTTAATAAAAACATTTCACTTTATTTTATGATACAATACATTTTAAAAATTAAATTTATATGTATTTTGTATTCTGTTGTATTAATAAACAAAATTATTTGCTTATTTTTCACTTATGTAGAACCTAACCCTATACCTCACTGTAAATATGGGTTCATTTTACGCCAATTCGATTTGCGCCGGCTTTTGTAGGAATGGAACTGCAGCATAAACCAAGGGCTACCTGTATAAATCTTATTTAAATTGCCTTTGTTTTTCACTAAAGTTTTAGTTTTATAATAATTACATTTTTATATTTTTAAATTATTTAAAAAATAATGCACAGATTATAACAATTTATTACATTTTTTTAGATTAAAGTTAAAAATTATTTTAAAATATAATAATATTACTAACCTCATCCTCAGTTAAAAGAAGTTTATCCAAACCATTTTCTAGACGTTGTATATTTGAATGCAACTCATTTAATTTTGTTTGCAATAAATTTTCATATAATTTAATTAATTCAAGAAATGTTTTTGGTGTAGTATAATTATATCTATGCTCATTAATCAAAAATACTTTACTTATTTCTTCCACAGATGTGTGAACATAAGACATAAAAAGTGAAACTGAATCTTTCAATTCATCCTAAAAAATAAGAGTAGAAAAAATAATATTTTAATTTTTAACAGTAATTAAATTAATTACAAATTATTTATTATTTTAAATAATTCAGTAAAGTAAATTTCAGCTATTAATTTGATGTTCACATGTTAACTACAATATATATTTTAAAATTTTTGAAAACTACTTGAACAATATAACTTGAACAATATAAAATACACATAAATATTAAAAACACCAAATAAGTTTTAAATCTTTAATAGTTATGCAAATTTATATGATGATACATTTGATAGAACAGCTTATTTTTCATACTTTATGTTTTATATATGTGAATATAAAAGAATGCAATAAAATAAACTAAACAATAACAGCAATTGATTAGAAACAATTCAAGTTAATAACAAAATCTTTCATTTTATCTACTGTATATGTGTTTGTGGAATTGTGGTGAATAAAAACGTTTCATCAAAATAACTCTATTAGGCTGCATATACAGTAATAAAATAATTTACTAACACAAAAGAATGAATCATATAACACTGATAGGTACTGTACAATCATACCAACTTCTGGAGTTTTGATTTTTTTTTGTATAATCACCCTAATTAAATACTCTTTTCTGCACCAGTCAATATTACATAAAAATCTGTTTCACATCACAAAAGTCCAGACATGCCACAAGAGTCACAATTGTTTCTAATCATACAATACAAAAGAAAGCAGGGCCCTAAAATAACCCACTACAAACTTATTGCGTAAGTCATCTTATACCTAGGATTATAACTACAGATTAAATTGAAAAGATTAGTGTATAGAGCTGTGGTATACTTATGGGGTAATATGGATGTTGGATTCCTCCCCAGAGGCTTTAGGAATAAAATTTAAACTAAAAAGAATTTTTCTTAAACAACAAATCTAAAATTACATTTTATTAATAAAAAATTCAATATCAATAAATTATTTCATTTCTTATAATAATAGAAAAATGAATGCTCTATTATCAATTGCTTACTTATACTATGTGACTGTGGATTATTCTAGAAGAAAGATGTAATGTCCTGAGAATGACACAAACAAAACTGAAAAGATAAACCTTGATTCTAGGAATTGCAACATGGCAAAATAATGATGAAACAGGAAAACAATATTTTTTCTTTTGACAAAATATTTTTAATTAAGGAGAATATTGTGGGAAGGCAGCTAAAATTCCTAACATAACATCTTAAAATATGAATGGAAGTCCAAGGTTTGTTAAACATCGCTTGGTCAGAGTAGAAAGACAGTGTCAAATTGTACATTGACAATTAACCTTTCTCATAGCCTGGGGGTCACCAAACTACGGCCTGCAGGCCAGATCCAGCCTGCAAAGTCAGTTCATCTGGCCCATCGCTGCACTGTGCCACAAACGAGCTAAAATATAATTATTTATATGGAAATATCATAGATTGTATATGAATTTACTATGTAGAAAAAATTAAAATAAATGTAAGTAAAAATGTCAAAAATGGTGCAATCTGATTTTTGCATCTGACAGTAATATAATTTTTAGGAAATCAGTAAAATGAAACACTTGATGACTTTTATGACTTTGGATATCAGAGTGCTTTTTTGTGTAAGTACCTGCAATGAAGTTTCTAAGAAAAGCAATTACAGGCTTGCTGCAGCCATCGTGTTTGTGTTGGTAAATAAATATGCTGATTTTCTTTATTTTTTGTGTATTCAGTATACCATATTGAACAAAATGGTTATGTGGCCCGCACTCATCATTCTTTCAGTTATCTGGCCCGCTGAGAAAAAGTTTGGTCACGCCTGTCATAGCCAAACTGGTCTTATTTCATTTAGATACAACCAATCAGGAAGGGATGAAAGTAAATCAAAACTATCAAATTATTCAATTTGAAGGCAAATTTTATAAAAGCCATGTTTCAAGAACATGAGTTTTCTTTCATAAGTCTTCTTCCCAAGTTTTTTCTTCAAGAACATATTTCTTTTCTCTTGAGCTCCTGTTGCAACATCTTTGCCAGATTGCCAACTGTCCTGTCATCTAAAATCCACTAGCTAATTTTTTGGAAGAAAAATTAGAACATACCAGTTCCCTATCAGATCTTTCAGAAGCTTAGAATAATTTTTTATGGAAGTGGGCTTTCTTGCTGTAAGACCTCATTAACAGTTTCAAAAACAGTATAAAGGTCCATTATGAGAGATGTATGACCACTAGAGATGATCATATTCTATATTAACATTTCATGTATTATACACTGAATTTCTGAAATGTTTTCTTACTGCTCCAAATTGAAGAACTCATGCACATTACACAATTCTGTTATTATATGATTCATATTATTCTATTATTATATGATTCATAAAATTCAAATAAATGTCCATAACACATTTTGTTAATTTCCTGACATACAATGCAAATAATACAGTCGACCCCCTATAACACGGTAGATATGTTCTGTTCTTTATGAATCAATTTCTTACGAGTCCTTGCCAATCACAGCCCGACATGTGTGAAGTTTACAAACTACAGCTGTTTGAAAGGTTTTCTTCCATAAAATTAATCGATTCTAGACTAATTCGACTCAACATTTCCAAAATATGTATAATTTTTTTAGGAATAATCCATATAAACTATGCTATAAACAAAAAATTGTAAAATTACTTACCGAGTGTGCACCATTCGACGTCGCTATTGCTCAAGCTTGTCTTCGTCGCAGAGCAGCGCACCAAACGGTGGGCAATTTCTGATAAGTTATTTTTCTGCGAAAACTTCGTTGAACTTTGGAGACATCATTAATATAAATAATTTTTATGGCCATTGAATAAGAAATGCTTCTTTCACAAGATATGTATAAAATTACAGTACTGTATTAGACTTACGGTACATAATTTACAGACGATAGTAAACAACTTACGCACCCAAACTCTCCGTAGCTTGGTGCGGGACGGCAGAAAGTATATATATAATTATAATAAAGTTACAATAAATTAAGTTAATATATAATTATATATATAATTATATACTAATTTATATATAATTTATATATAATACTGTACAGATGATAGTAAACTCAATTTACCCGCCTAAATTCTCCGTAGCGTGGCGCTGGACAGTGGAAAGTAGTTCGGCTGCCCAATGACATTTTACCGAATTATAGGAGTTTTTTTTACCAGGTTTGTACGGATACCGTCACAATTTTTTTGCCGTCTTATAGGAATCGTAATTATAGGAATCCGTGTTATAGGGGTCTACTGTATATGTTTTATCTTTAATTTTAAACACCAGTGTATAAGCAATTTTGTCAACAATTTAAAGTTTACCAAAAAATTTGATATACAGCAAGTTTACAGAAAAATACAAAATAATACTTACAGATAAAACTTGTATATCTCCAAGAAATTTCTGACTTACAGATAGTAATGCCTCCTGAGGCCATTTGTGGAACCAATTAATACAGGTGCAATTAATAAGGGCTGGAAATTTTCGGCTTCTCACCCTCAATGTGGTTCCAACAGGTGAAAATGAAAGAACAACCTAAAAAAATTTAAAATAATTATTTATGTTTTATACATAAAAAATAATTAATTTTCTAATTTGACAATTCAATTAAAGATCTTAATAAAAATACTTATACTTAAAACTCATTTTTTTCAATATATCTCAACACTTTATTTAAATTTCAACTTCAGATAGACATGAAAATAATATACTTTACAATGGTTTTTAACAAGTTTGATTCTTTAATTTATTTATAATAATTCTTCTATGATTTCGATAGATTTAATTAGACTTTAACAATTTTTTTTATAAAGAATATATTAGAAATGAATTAGAAACAAATATGATTTTTAAACAATATTCATAAAACCATGCATAAAACACTGAATTAAACATCAATATTTTTTTTTATGGACTCCATGTTAAATATAATAACACATATTTATCTCATGTCAAACTTATTGATATGTTAATTTTTTCATAGTAAATCATTTTTTCTATTTGAGAATTGATTTTTGTAAGTGCATTTTTTATGTAGCATATCTTCTCTATATGATTACTTCAGTTTAAATAGATTTTAATCCTTATTTTTTTGGAACATTGATATTGCGACTACACACCATATTTTCAATGTATATTTTTGTATCAATATATATTACATTAAAATTATTTGTTCCCTGTCATCCTTTCTATCTTTTCTATTGTCTTATTTCTCTGGAATGTTCTTGTTTAACCCTCTTTCTTGGTATGTGGACAACTAATCTCTGAGAACAATAGATGGAATGCAACCCCGAGGGTGAGAAGGGTAGCACGTGGCTCATTCTGGAGAGGAACCCAGAGAGGTAAGACGGTGAAATTGGTCTCCACAGTGCGTTTTAGCCTTGCATGGTAGAGACAAGAACTTTGAGAAGAGAGAGAATAATTGATTGTGAGGAATAGATAATCAGCCTTCGAACTGATTATAAAATAATGAGAGAATTGAGCCCATTCATGATCCCAGGAAGAAATCTTGTTCCAACATACCAATGGCAAATAGAACATTGCAACAGACTGTGGGTACCCTCTTTCCTATCCCGTTATTATTCTTCAGTTTTTCTAATTAATTATTTTATTTTTATTAGTTATAAGTAGTCATAAGCACCTAGTTGTAAGTTATGTATAATTCTAGACAATTTGACAATTGATTCAGGTAGAGATCGTCATGCAAATTTTATTGTCGGAAATCAATCTTGTGTTATTTTTTGTGTGAGTATTATTGTGTATTATTTAGTGGGAGAGGTATTTGTTGGCATGCTAAAAGAATTTTGTATTGCAATGAGTGAGTAATAAATTTCTTTGTTATGTTATTCCTTTGTCTACATTTTGCTCTATCATTATCACAATATCATTAAAATGATATCCACTTTACAAATGTTTTATTTATATTTCGTATTCATAAATATTATACACACATAAATATAATTTAAGAAATAAATGTATTTCATACTTATATAAACAATAGTTTGTAAAACTCTGTATTTAAGAATGTAAATAGAAAAAATGGCATTTGACAGTGTTTTAATTATGATATGATGTTACATTAGTACAGTTTTTCTGAAGAATGTATTGTTCTCTCTACTACTTCAAGATTTGTTGCCACTTTTTCAATAAATAATTTAATAAATAATTTTTTTATTTTTACTGCTAAAATACTTCAAAATATTTCCACATTTATCAAAATTTCTTTTCAGTCCATATATAATTCACATACAAGTAATATCCTTCCAACAGATTTATTATTACTAGGTAAGCATATAAGGTCAACAATTATCCACATGTTGATATTTGGCATGTTATTTCACTTCAAATCAAAAACTAAAGTAAAAGTAAGGACTTGAGTCAGCCCAGGATATACATAAGTTTTGTTTCAAAGACTGTCTCTGAAAATCCAGGTAATGGTCATTTCAGTTTAAACAAAATTTATATAAATTTATTTCTTTAAATTTTTACTGCCATTCCAGTTATTTATAAATTATTTTTATTAAAAGAAACTGAATTTTCAAATAAATATAACACTTACTTTTATCTTTTGTTGTACTTTTGCAATGAAACATTTCCAACAGTTCTCTTTAGTATCTATAAGGCCTAATGATTTAACTTCATTTCTAAAATGATTAATAATATTTTCAGCATCTTCATCTGAAAACAATCCAGGTATTTCTCCAGAAGACAGAAGGTCATTAATTAATACTAAGAATTTTTCATCACCAACTTCTGCATCTGTCATTAAAAACATTACTTCAAAGTTTTTAAGTCCAGTTTTTTCATATAAAATAGCTAAATCACCCTGTTAAAAGATTAAGAATTATATAAGAAAATAACATATAGTATAAGAATTATATAATGTATTCTTTAAATTCTTTAATTCATTATCATAGTAGAGTCCAGACAGACTAAAGATCACAGCCCCAATATTAATACTTTCATTAGTTTAAAGAAAAAATTTTAAAACAAAACTATTGTCATATTACCCATAAATATAAATAGACAAACAAATGGAGTGATAAAATGAAGTGAAGTTTCTAATCAGTGAATGAGATAAAGTTTTTATAATTGTGACTTGAGTGACAAAGATAAGTTTTGTAAGGTTATCTTTGTATTAGACTGTAGAAGCATACTTAACAAGTTTGAATTTAGAATTGTTTGTTATATAAAATAATTGACTTTTGTGGTAACTGAATACTAAAAGACCATTTACTGTTTTTTATACAGTAGAACCCCTATTATCCAAGATAATATGAACCAATAGTACTTTGGATAAGAAAAACCTTCAATAATATGGATGTCGACAATCACTTCCAATTAAAAATTATGAAAAGATTTAAATGATATATCACTTTTAAGCTCTTTTTATATCTTAGTGAATTTAATCATATAAAAGAACAATAATTTTTACATCATATGTTATGCAGTTAATATGTACAATAAGTTGTAAGAATAATAATATATATATTATTATAGATATGTTTTAATACAAATGATTTGTCTTAAATTGAAGTTAAACGATAAATGGTAGCAGAAACAAATCATTTTATAAAACATGTTATCCTTTTAAATTTTATTTTATGAATTACATATAAGAAAACTGTGTTTACTTACAGAATCACCTTGGACAATGCAAAACCTTGGATAATTAAAGTTCTATTGTATTTATTTGACTGAATAAATGTTTCTTCTTCATTGTAATTGTTAAAAAATTTTTGAATTTGTCAAAATTATTGTGACTCTTTGCTACAATTTTGTTAAGGTTTTTTCTTTCTTTAATATCAAAATAATAACTGTAGTTTAGATGTTTTTGTCAGCTAACATAAATTAAAATAAACTAACTTTATATTAGCAATTCAGTAATCCAGGATTGTGAGGTAATTTCCTGTTTGATCACATCATATCCTAAATTTTTAAGTTTTGAGTCTTTTTCTATAATCTCACAATACATTATATACAAATATTAGAAGAATTTAAACTTATTTTTGCATAAGTTAACTTGTGGACTCTACTGTATCATTGCATGAAATGCTCCTTGATACTTTTCTCAGTTAGATATGGGGCACTTGTACATTGGGGCACTTGGGGTTCGTTTCTCCCTTTAGTCTCAGATGCCCTTTTCCTAATCCCCAAAAGTGGCCCCAAACAACAGAAAATTTGTGACTTCTAGCCTATTCTGCAAATATAAAAGAAATTAATGAATGATATTTGTCCATTGACCCATGCAACTTTCTCATATGCATTCCTTAATTTTAAGGCCAAGTAAGCCCCAAGTGTAACCAGTGCCACCTTGTGGGAGTGCCAATTTGATGTTAAATCATAGAGTTTGAAGTTTCTTGCTTAATGTACAATGAACTTTTTTATAGCTTGTGCCACCCCCTTTTTCATAGTCTGTGGGCACTGCTGATTAGGTATGTTATTGTATGTAATAATCAATTTACAATATTTTACTCCTCAGACAAACTATAGGTGTGTAAACTAAAAATCTGCTAAATTTTGGCAGGCATACTTAATATTCTTTTTTAAAACAAATTTGAAAATGGATAGTGTAAATTGTTGCTTAAACTTGTAGTGCTGCGTCACTATTGTTCTTGGGATAGGCGCTTGTATTTATATACCCTTGTGCAAGGTTCATTTTTCCGTACCTGTTTTTTTTGTATAATTTGTAACTTTCGTTTTTTGTGTAAGAAAACCACCTTTTACTTGGGTGGCACAGCCCCGTTGTGTCGATTGGCTGTGCTGTGTTCACGTGTGGTGACGTGTGCGATGGCGGGACTTATAAATTTTGCCATCCCACGTGTACGAGAGTTCAATAACAAATTTTGCCATCCCACGTGTACGAGAGTTCCAGTCCCATCAACAATAACTCAACAAAACACTATTAATATGTCTCACAACATATTAATAGTGTTTTGTTGAGTTATTGTTGATGGGGCTGGAAGGACAGAAATTCTAGAAGGTGACTTTCTGAAAAACTATGAACTCGTCCATCTGTGAAACTCTTTCAAGATTCATCCCGGTGATTTTGCGTGGCGAACTTATCGATTGTGACTCTCCCAGGATCATACTCGAGGATCATCAGGTGGATGGGAAGGGGTGCCGTAGAGACTGAATAAGAATGCTGTTCAGAACTCTCCAATCGAACTGTTGTTGATCAGCTTGTGGACTGCAAGGAGTGTCTTGTGATTTGAAGATCAATGAGGATCTTCAGGCAAATTGGAATGAGTGTTAAATGAATATGAACTGTTATATTCACTCTCTCATATCCAAATATGAACTGTCATATTACTCTCTCTAATATAAATTTTTATTATAGAATTTTAAAATTAAAATTAAATAAAACATATNAGAGAAGTCCCTGGCATTTTAATTTTATAGTGACCTTCAAGTTGCTTACCAGCATATCAATGTATCAAGCAGTAGTCACAGTTTGACCCTTTTCCTGCAATATACTGTAGTGCTGCGTCACTATTGTTCTTGGGATAGGCGCTTGTATTTATATACCCTTGTGCAAGGTTCATTTTTCCGTACCTGTTTTTTTTGTATAATTTGTAACTTTCGTTTTTTGTGTAAGAAAACCACCTTTTACTTGGGTGGCACAGCCCCGTTGTGTCGATTGGCTGTGCTGTGTTCACGTGTGGTGACGTGTGCGATGGCGGGACTTATAAATTTTGCCATCCCACGTGTACGAGAGTTCTTTAGCTGGTGAGACAAGGACTGAGACGGACGGGCTGAGGTGCGCCGGAGTGGACGAGTAGTACTAGTGGACTGAAACAAAGGAAGACGGGGATTCACCACGTGCGGAATCCATCTGCATCGACGAAGCCACATGGACGATACCGATTTTTAGACGACCCCGAAATACAACAGGAGTTTATTGAAGAGATGTGCAGATTAGTTCAACGTAGGAATTACTTCTGTGAAGTGTTTGTATAAAAAAACAATTATATATATTTGTTTCTATTTCTGTGTCCACGAAGACTAGTTAAGTATTGACGCGAGCATTTTGATCCTTTTTTTTATGTAATTTTGTATTGATAAACCCTAGTTTATCGAATTTGACATTCATTAAATATTTTCCTACTATTGATACATGTCGTTTGTCTCGTGTAAAAATCCTCGTGTAACAGTAGCCTTTTACCCTACTCTTTGTCCAGAGTAACCTCGGTGCTCTTAGGATCTTACAAACTCCATAGATTTAAATTCATGTTGTCATGGCAACAATATTACAAATATAAACAAAATGGTGCATGCAGCTTAATGAAAAACAAAGAAGAATTGTATTTGGTGAATTTTACAAACATAAGGAAAAAGAAGATTTATAGTGAAGCATTTTGTAGATATCACAAAATATTTAACTGTGATGATATGATATGGAGATGGCAGAAAAGACAGTTTACATCATCATAGAAAAGATAGACAGTGGTAAGACTGTTACTAGATGTTCAGGGAGTGGGAAAAAAAAAGAATTAAAATAACAGATAGCAAAAGAGGATCATTGGAAAGAAAGGCAGTCAGAAAAGTTGGACAGTCACTAAGAAAATTTGGAAGTTTAAAATATCTCATCAGTATGTTAAAAACATACTAGTGGAACAAAATGTTCATTGGAAGTGAAAATCAGCCTGAAAATTTACAACAACAACTCAAATTGCAAGGATTCTGTTGCAAAAATCCACAAGGATGATTTTAAAGCTTCAAATGGTCTGGTCGTTGTTATAGATGATAGCCATATTTTGCCTTTGATAGAAGTGGCTTAGTGCTTAGATCAACATATATATTGTAAGGATGGGTTTGAGGTTAATCATTTGGAAAGTTATTAAATTCAAGAAAGCAATCTAGAGTTATGATGCCTAAAACTATTTATTTCCTGCATAGTAATGCATTTCTTATATTGTATAATATAATATTTCAATATTTCATATAAACTCTTAGCATTTATAATTGGTCTGAGCATCAGCCAAAGAAAATTTTATTCTTATGAGCAGTGTGGTGGAGTTGGAGTTGGAGTGTGGTGGGGCCCAACTCCTACAAATTTGTAATGTGTGACTTTGACTCTGACTTTAGTTTTTTTAAAAATATTACACTATAATTGCTTTTTTAAGAAAGACACCACTGGGTACCCAAATATTTTTATTTAAAATTTCTTTATAAAAACTCATGCTAAAATTGATGGTACGAATAATCAAATTTGAGGAATGGTAATTATATGCATCATAATTATATATGAAAAACCTCAGAAGATTGTCAGCTTATGCATGTGATTGTGTGAAAAAATAACTATATCTGGTTGCAGGTTAACACATACATTCTTCAAATAAAACAAGGTCTCTTTTTTATCATTGAGTTTCAATTATGCAGTCACATACACTCAGATATTTTCTTTGATTGGATCTTAAAACAGATCATAAATTTAAACTTTTACCCATTTCAGCAAACACTTCAGAAAAATTCAAGATTCCAATGGAACAACTACTGATTGACTCAATATTTTGTATATTCTCAATAAGACAGAGAGCATGCCTTAACATCTTAAAGGTCAGTCAAAAAAAAACAAAAATATTCCTATTTTACACCTTTTCCTCTCTTTACAAGAGCTTAATTGATGGTAAGGTCATCAATCATGACTTCAAGATCCATTGTTTTAAAGTTATACACGAATTTATGTGTTGCCTTACCAATCAATGACATCAGGGAGAAGGGAGTATGTAAAAGGACTTCAGAAAAAAAAAGGACAGAAAGGACGTGGAAGCAGGACCCAGATCCAGGACAAAACAAAGAAATTTTTGGAATGTTATCGAAGACAGGGAAAGTAATGGCTGGAAAGTTGCAGAAACACAATATCTTAAAGGATATTTCAAATTTAAAAAATTAGAAAACACTTTATAAATTATACTAGTTAATATTGTGTTTATATTTTACCTTTAAATCATTAATTCCATAGCCTTTTCTTAAAACAATTTGAAATGTATCATAATCATTTATAAATGATGAGAGTCTTGCTAAAGATTGTTTTCCACTTCCACCGACACCAACCAGAAGAGCATTTCCTCGAGGAAATCTTAAAATTCGACTAATTCGACATCTGTAATTTATTTTTTATAATTATTATGTTTTAATTACAATCATATTCACTATTTAAAGAATTTTATAAAACTTAAATCTAAATCCCGTTGACTTCATAACTATGAAAATTTACATAGGTATTTTATTTAAAATTTTTACAATTACATCTAAATATTTACAAGTATATAAACCATCTTCAGAAACAATAATTTAAAATAAGATATCCATGAACAAAAACAAATATGAACAAATCATATCATTCTACAGTTTAAAAGACATTATCAAGATAGACTCATTTGCATAGACTTTTGATATATAATTTCATAAAATATTAAATATTAACAAATTTAAATATGAATTTTAGAATGTAACTATGATAAATAATGCAGTTTTTTCTTATTTATTTTATTTTTTATAAATCATTATCATTTTGAACAAAAATCATAGAATAAATAGTAATCTGTAACAAGATTTATAAATATAAATGTGAACAATCTAATATTTTAATATACCATCATAAGTTTGATTATTCACAAAAGAAAAACTAGTTAATCAGTTACAGTTATCTCATATCAGAATATTATTATATTAATATATTATATTCTGGCTTCAAAATATCACAAAATTAAAAATCTGATAAAAACAAAGTATGTAAAAAATAAATCAAAAATGACGTGAATGGATATCAACTATCCTTACATATATATCAAAAACTTAAGTATTAGTTAAATTCATTTATCTTCAGAAACAGTAGTTCAAACAACTTTAAACAGTTGATTATGACAATCAACTTTTGAAAAATAAACTTAAGTAAAAGTTTTCTTTTTATGTTTCCAGAGAAATCTATAAAAAAGTTCTTTTTGTGCTTGTACATATTGTACATTTTGTTTTTATGTTACACTATAATTTAAAGAAATGGACATTATCCACCATTTTATTATTATTGCATGATAATTCATATTAGCAATTTCTCCAATATTAAAAACTCAAAACAACTACTCAAGTCACCATTTTACCTAGGAAACATTGGAAGAAATTTTCTCCAAAAGTTAGCAATGTAAACTATTAGTTATGTTTTTAAAAATGCTTTTAAATAAATTTTTTGCTTTAAAAATTTTCATTTTTAAACATTTTGAAATATTTGTATAAATGATGCTGAAAAACTGAGCCTAATATATAGTAAATAGAGCATAATATGTATTATATTGTCTTCAGAATTGCAAGATCAAAAATGTTACCATATTACATACTGAAATTCAAGTATTAGATATCATACTGACAAATTTAAATACAAATAAGTAGTAGTAGTAAATTTATTGTAAATATTTATATATAAGTATGTTAAGTACTGTTAATTTAATTTATAAATTTATTTATGACAATCTAAAAAAACTTTTTTCTACTTTAATAAGAAAATAAAACTTACATATGTTCTACTGCATCTTCAAATAAAACAATATTCATTGCCGCATGAATTTCATTGTAGGAATTTAATGAATTTACCAAAATTTTGTACAAGTTATTTTTATCTACTACAGGCATATATTTTGATATTGCAGTTCCTTCATTAAAATGACAATACAATGGACGTTCTTTTTCAATAACTTCATAATTAATATCCTGAAATAAAGTTATTATTAAAAAATTATTTAAAAAATGTATATATAATGCAATACATCAAATATTCTAAAATAAATTAATAAATGTGAAATGTGACAGGTCCGAACCCTCACTAAAATTCACGTTAAAATAATTGTTTTAAAGAAAATAATATAGTAGTTAGAAATAGATTTATTTTATGAAAACGTGACGCTAACTTTTAAACAATAGAAGAATGTAAGTCTGTCGACCATTTCCGGTTGGAGATCGAATTAAACTTCGATTTTGACCTCTCCTGCGCCCCGAAAGGTTTCGAATTGTCATCAGGTGACGAGGAGAGACCAATCGGAAAGGGGAATCTGAGAGAAAACAGATAAAACCCTGGAAATTCGAGGACGCGACGGCTTCTTCTCCCAAAAGTTCCAAGTGACGGATCTGTTGTTGTGTGTGTGTCTCGCACCCATCTTTGTCTCCATCTCCTGACCTCGGATCGACGTCTTTCCATCAACGGAAGTCGACCGCATCATCCCAGAGTCGTTGAGACATGATGGAATGGTTCATTCGCGAACAAGGGACACTCCTTCAAAAGGGGACTATCTTGGAAAGGAGAGGAAGACCCAGAGGCCGCAGCTGCTGCAGAACTTCCAAGATCGCGGAAATCTTGTAAGCTTCTTTCGTGTTTAATAAACGGTTGTGTTGTTTGTAAACAAAGCATCTATCTCTGACTCAACTGCTTCCACAAGTTGTTGATTGTTACCGCTCGGCAATCCATACGGCAAGGGAGACGATGACGATATATATCACATATTATCGTTCATTGAGTTTTTTTAATTTCTCCCCCCCTTGGCCCCCACATAAATAAGCCTAATATCAAACTTATTTTAAAACAATTTCTGATCAAAAATAAGTTTTCTTTAAAATTTATTACTAAAAAAAATGAAATCAGAATTTAAATTTCATTACATTCTACTCAAATAAAAAATGATAATAATTTACATAAGTTCTATCACAACCTCAAACTAATTTATTTATTTAAACTAACTTATTTATTAAAGCATTTCTTTTGAATTTTTTAAAAAATTACCAGCTAAAATGCTTGTAGAAGTACAATCTAGCACAAGTACTGTACAATGCTTGATGTATTTTAGTTTACAAGTGGATGCTTCATCATTCCATATTTAAATTTGAATTTTTCATCTAGCTATAATAATTTACAAATTATACACTGATCAAAATAACTGATAATAGTTCTAAATAAAGAAGCAAAGTTTATTTTAATACTTTAACATTTTTGAATGTGTTTGCATCCTTTCTCAAAGAATAACATTTTATAAAATCTGTAGTTTTAGCAGCTGAATTGCTATTATTTTGTAAATTGATAATTATAGGAAATATTTGTTAAATATGCTGGTTCTCCTTTGTATTGGAGAACAATAGATTTCCTGTGCTAGAAGCCTGAAGCAATCTACATGTACTTGCACAGAAAACAAAAGAAATGGGTTCTTGGAAAAAGGAAGTCAAGTGGAAGTGATTGAGACCTCAACAGAGACTTGGTAGAGAGTAAAAGAAAACAAAAAGTGTGGAAATTGAAACTTTGGACTTTTGCAGTATGTGGTTTACTCTGGACAAATAACAAGTGAACAACAATCTATAGACAGAACAGCTTGGAATAATCCATCAAAAGTTTAATTTTGGTACAACAGTGGTTCTCAACCGGGGGTACATGTACCCTAGGGGTACGAGTGTAAATCGAAGAGGTACATCTAACTTTCACTATAAAATGACGTATGTTAATCAATTTGCTGTAAATTATTAACACAAGAAACAAGAAATGACAAAAACTTGCTTTAAAATATTCCAGTATGAACATTGATTTCCCTTTTAACAGTCCAGATTTGCCCGTATATTTGTGCCGTTAGTGCCAAGTGAACCTGTAGTCTAGTAAAATTACGGTTTAACTGAGCATTAATGTTAGAATAGAAAAAAATTTTTTATTCTCTTCTATAATTATTGCTCAATGAGATCGGGGCCTTTCGTGTTTTTATTGGGCTACTGGTATTAGAAATAACGAGGCCTGGATTGTACCCCTACCATGCAATGCATGTAACTGCATGTGTGCATTACTTGATATTTAGCAAATTTAGACATTACATTTGTTACAAAAATTGAAAGATTCATTTATTGTTCTGCACATTATAAATTCGCAGCCATTACTTTTAAGGTCAGTACACAACTATAATCTCTATTTAAAAACGTGGGAATCAAATTTTGAAAAAATTTCTGAAGATTTATCGCAACAAATATCCCATTAAATTTTGTTAGAAATTATTGTAGAATAATTTAAATTTTCTTTATCGTTAATTATAATTATTTATTTTTAGGAAATGTAATTTATGCAAGTATTCTGCGATTTTATATAATATACTTATCAAATAATAATAAATAAATGTATGTACTTGATTAAATTTATTATTATTTACGTAAAATAAGTAATTCACTTTTAATTATAGTTAGTTAGAGCTTTTTTTATGGCACTTAGTTATAAGAGCTGTATACATCTAATGCAGTAATTATGAAATTTACATACAAAAATATAAGGGGTACTTGAGAAATGACTAATGAGCTAATGGGGTACATAAATAAATGTATGTACTTGATTAAATTTATTATTATTTACGTAAAATAAGTAATTCACTTTTAATTATAGTTAGTTAGAGCTTTTTTTATGGCACTTAGTTATAAGAGCTGTATACATCTAATGCAGTAATTATGAAATTTACATTCAAAAATATAAGGGGTACTTGAGAAATGACTAATGAGCTAATGGGGTACATCAACAAAAAAAGTTGAGAACCACTGTGGTACAAAGACTGGTATAGGGAATGTGAGTTAGATCTACATCCATAGCTTAGGAGCTATGAGATAGTTAAGCCCCTTTAGTTTTGGTTAGCAGTACTCATATGCAGTATATACAGTGTGTATCAGAATGACATTTTAAAAATTTGGGGGATTGTAGAGGATGAAATTTTGAATGTTTTGATATAAGGAACCTATAGCTGGAAATGCAATATAAAGTTTCTACAGCACTTTGCACGTTCTATGTGGTCGGTATGCTGAATGAAACAACAGAATACAATATTTATGACAAGTTTTATTTACAAAACAGTAGAGTACAATCAAACTGTACACCGAATCAGTGGCTGCACTACTTTAGAGTAAATGTTCAATGTGATGATTACCAACTTCATTACATAATGTGGAACAACAAACCATGTTTTGTCCGACTCTCTGTAAGATGCCACGCTCCCCTCAGATGGTATTAAATGCTGTAAAGATGTGCTCCGTAAGCTCATGAACTGTTCCTACAGGTATTGTGTACACAAGGGACTCACGCTGACTAGTTGTGTTTACAGCTTAGTGCCAGTGGATGCAAGGGGTGACCTGAAGGACGGCAAGCACTAAGTACACAATGTCCTGTACACAGGCTCAGTTAGACCACTGTAGTTGTGTGTTTACAGTCTTCCATCTGCAGCAATAATATGACGTCAATGGACAGAAGGGTAGCTACCAAAGTGAAGGGCGGTCAGCACTTCCTACCGCTGTAGACACTTTAGTTCAAATTTCCGGCTATAGATTTCTTATATCAAAACGTTCAAAATTTCACCTCTACAATACCCCAAATTTTTAAAACGTCATTCTGATACACCCTGTATAATACAGTAGGATCATGACTATCTGAGGTAATATAAACTGATGCTACCTCAGATAACTGAAAATGTGGATAAAATAATGCCAAAGTCATTTCAGATTAAAAATTATGAATATAAAAGATTTATTTGATGATACAGCACCTTTAAGCTTGCTAATTAAGTCCCCTAAATTTATTTAAATAACATCTAGACTTTGTAAAATTTAGAACAATTGACACACACAAAGAAAATTATTTGACATTTTTCATTCTTTCACATGAGATATTTCATGTTCTCTCTGCAAGAACTGTTTTTGCATCAGCAGACAATAATAACTATAAAACAACAAGACCACCAAATGCAAACCACTTGTTTCACCATCCTATAAAAGCTCTACCTTGGCTTTTTGTATGTCCACAACACCATAAAAAATATACTTTATTAATAAATACATCACATTTATGAACCTTTTTCAAGAATTTCGTAACATTTCAGAGTCTTTTCCATTAATTACTTTTCTTCTCAAACTCCATATATCCATGGCTTCTCTGCAACTTACAAATCCCTGTTTTCCTTATTTCTTCTAACATTCTTGCATTTTCTTATTTTACCTTGTTTCCTTTATTAAGGATTTTTTGACAGCATATAGTAGTGATTTTTCCTGTCATAATATCTCTTCTATTCTCCTCTTTTAATCTTTCCATAGATTCAATATAAACTTTATTTGTTCCTCTCTCATCACCTAACGAACAATGTATACTTCTGTTTTGTTACTTTTTTCTTTTTCTTCTGTCATTGCAAGATTGCATCCCCACACATGCTCTCTCATATTGGAACAATGTAGACATGCCAATTAATGTAATATGCATCAGAGTATTTGGAGAAAACCTATACTAACAAGGGGAAAACATGCAAACACCAAACAGAGAGCAGGCTTGGGTGCCCAAGAATAAAGCTTTTTTCTCATCAACATTTTAATGAAGCATTGAATGAAACAATGTTATTCAAGGATTTTCCATATACTAGTATGTAATATTACTTAGTATAACATTTAAAGAATTTGTGAGAGATTAATATAACTTATTGTCTAATGAATTAATGATAATTAATTCTTTCTTTTTAATTCATGAGTCACAAACACATGCTTATATATTACAAATTAATTAGAGAAAAATCTAAATTAAATATAAAAAATTATAACTGTTAAAAACAAATATATATACCTCTACTTGAAAAGTTTTTCTTATTATATCAATTATTATTTTATCAAACTGTTTCAAATCATTTTCATCAACTAGTTTATCTCTATATACTCTCCTACATTCATGAATCCAAAGTTGCAAGAGGTCAATTGTATCTTTTAAACATTCAGTTGTGCCAAATAATAATCCCTAAATTTAAAAATTTTTCAATTTTAGAATATAATAATTCATTTCAAGAATTAATTTATCATTATTTTTTAAATTAAATTGAAGAATTAAAAACAGAAATTAAACAGACAGTCTCTCTTAAAATTTAACAATTATAAATAATTATAAAACTTACTTGAAATATATTTGATAAATCTCTCAAATTGAAAAAGTAATGAAATTTGAAAGCAGTTGGAAAGTAAGTTTGTGATATTTTCTGATGAAAAGAAATTGCTGTGAATACTAATGCTTTAGTTGATTTTGACACACTACTAGAGATTCTACTAAAAGGATCAGTTAAATATTGATACAATATGCTGTGATATATTTTTATCAAACTTTCAAAATTTGGATAACTGACAGCAAATACACAGAAGTGCCTCTATAAAAATAAAAATAATTTTAAAAATAAATTTTAGCATTAATATTTTTTAATTCTAATACTATAAGATTTTTATTTAATATTTTTTAAGATTTTATGAGGCATGATAATTACAGTCTCTTCTATTATGATGTGTATTTTTAATGTACAAATATGCTCATATATGGTAGAAAAATAAGGATATAAAATTATCAAAACAGATAATCATATTAGAGTCATGGAATTTTTTACAAGGTGACTATACTTTATACTGTTTAGTAACACCAAGTGAATTTAATAAACACCACCCAGTTAAATGTCCTTTACATCACTTTATAAGAGAAATGACTGCATTATCATATATTACAAAATTTTGTTGTAAAAATTACTTTATTGAAGAAAAAAATTTTAAAAGATATTGTAAAATTTATAAACTCACAACACAGTAAAACTCCAATTATCCAAATTAATTGAGACCTTGGGCCATCCAGATATACAGAATATCTGGATAATTGAATTTTTGGTTAAAATAATTATTTTTCTTCTTTACAATCACTCTGTTATGTATGTATGTACTGTATATAATTATGTGAAAATAAAACATTAAATGGAGAAATATACCTACGAATTAATATAGTTTATTTGCTATATTTAGAAAAAAATTAATTTCATGCATATACAGTACATACCTATTTATTTTTGAAAAAGTTGGAATAGATAAAGAAATCCAGATAATTAGTGATCTGGAGAGTCATCATCCAGATAATTTTAATTTAGTTTTAAAATAAAATAAATATTTTTAATATTATATGTCTGTATTAATTCCTATACACAGTATTCACGTTCAACATGCCATAAATTTAAGGAATGGTAGAAGTTGATGTGATGAGCATTTTTTATAAAGCAACCAAAGTTTGGAAACAAAACTTAGCAGAGACAAAACTTAGCAGACACTAATAACATCATGTTATTAATGAGTCATTTGCTATTAACATTTGAAATAAAAAAATATAGAGATTAATTAAATTTTACCTGTAAACGAGGATTGATAGTAAAGCTTCCAGCTGTAGGATTCATGCATGACACATATTGACAATTATGAATTCTTTTAAGAGTTAATTTTGTACGATCATACCAATGTTTATAATCTAAATGTTGTCGAATAAGTGTATGTGGTTGAACTGTGCCATAAGTATCAACCTATATAATGTAAAAAATAAAAAGTGTACCCAAATGCAGCATTAAAATTATTTTACCATATAATCATTTTAAGAGTTGTCATTTATGAAATTTTAATAATTTAATACATACTTCAGGCATATTCATATCGTCTATAAAGTATATCATTCGTTTAGTGCCAGGTGGTCCAAAATTTCTACCTGCTTTTTTCTCTAAAGATTTTTCCATAACTTTTTGTAACATTTCAGATGTTGTGTAAAAATTGAAAGGTATTTTTATAACCATATAATCATCTGATAAATCTTCTAGTTTTTCATTTATTAAAACAGTTTTACCACTACCAGTATTTCCTACTAACATAACAGGATGTTGACGATGCATAAGTAAATCAAGGAAAAAACGTATTCGTGTTGTTTCTATTGTATGGACAAGAGCATTCTGGAAAGAAAATGTTATAAATTATATTCAATTTTGAAATATTAAAAAATATAATAATTTTCAAATTTGACTAATTTTTAATTTTTAAAAAATAAATCATTTAGCATTTTAAATTATAACTATATTCTTTTATATTAGTTAAAACATTAAATTTTCTGAAACTAAATAATGATTAATAAAATTATAAAATTGAAAGCCTATAATAATTTTTGTAACTTCAATAATAAAACAAGTGAATAAACAAACATTTATTATTTTAATAAAACTGCAAAGTTTAATTTTTTAAAGTCAACTTATAAACATATCTATATTGTTTCTGATAAGTTCTAGAATAAACAATCTCACCTAAATATGTTATAGAAGATTAAATAATAATAATAAATAAAAAATAACAATAATAATATTTAGAATATGAAATCAAAAATACAAGTAATATGCAATTCTGTACTATTAAAATGAAAATTATTTTTATTTGATAATTTTACTAGATATTTAATATTTTTCTGCACAATTTTTAAGTTTGGCATAAATGTTTTTATATTATAACTTCATTACAATTTAAGATTACTAAATTTGATACACAACTAGAATTATAAAAATTCAAAAAGTTTCAAAGTCAATGCTGAATTCTATTGAATTCTAAATGTAGAATTTTTCTAAAGGGCTATTTTATCTATATATATAAATGAGGATGTTTGTTTGCTATACACTTCTAGGTTGTTTGACCAATTGCTACGAAACTCAGCAGTTACATTTACATTCTTCTGACTTAGATAATGTCATACATCCCACCCCAAAATATCAATTGGATTTCTATAAATCAATTAATTTCTATCTATATCTGATTTGCTGATTTACACATAGTGTCATCTATTGTCAAAAAAATTTGAGAAAATAATAAACTAAATATAATTCTTACAAAAAAAGAAATAATATTTAAAAATATATATTAATTCACTTAATTTTTGCAAAAATGATATAGCATAAAATAGACACAATATATCATTACTTCAACAGGTAGCACATATCACTTACCTGTGTGGAATTGAAAGTGTTACCCTGTGGAAAGTCTATAGTAAGTATATAAGTATTTAATTTTCCACATATAACAACTTAATTTTTTCCATTTCTGAATGCTACTTTCTTAATTCTAATCCTCCAGTAGCCAATTGGATTAAACCACCAAACACTGGTAGTTATTTAGTCAAAAATTCAGGCATGGCCAACAGGCTACACAGAGTTTTCTGTTTTCTTCACATTATTAACCTCGATTGATTGTTTATGACCGCCAATGTCAGAGTTCTATCTTCTTGGGAGGCCCTGACATTCCACCTAATTCATTATGTCATTCCTCTTCGCATTTGTTTGAACGACAACAGTTTTTTCCCCTCTCCTCTCCCTTACATAAGCAACATGACCTTTGGTCCAAGTTGACAATAGTGTTTTGCTTTTAACATGTAAAATTAAATTTTAGTTTCAACCTGTTCTGAAACCTCACCCTTGCAACCAGAAGTGATGTGTTGTTTACTTTCTGGCATAATGTGACATTTTCTGCATGTGTCATTTGAGTATGTGTTTTCTGTAGGTTTTAGTATTTATGACCTCTTCCTGTATGGCAATCATAAATCCTTCCGTCTCCCCAAAGACGCATCCCCGATCTAACCAGCTGTTTGATGCAGTTTTGTCAACAAAATCCTGGGCCAGGTCATAAGGATGCCTGCCATGGAGAGCCTTTTGAGCCCATGATTGCTTAATGTTGTCTATGCTTTTTATATGTTGTGTCATNGTTTCTGTCTGTTGATGTATTTGATCAGCAACCTGTTGTTTGATAAGTTCAAGTGTTGTTTGTGGGATAAGGTTGTTGTGTATAATTGTTCGTTTTTGATCAACAACCCTTTGTTCGGTGACAGTGAGGTGAGGATATTGTTGTGTGAATATGTGGTGTAGTTGTTGTCTGTATGCTGTCATGTTTGTTTCGAGTCTTGTGATGGTGTAGTAAGTACGGATGATAAACTCGTTCATTTCTGTCGTCCATTTCATTCGTTGGCGTGGTTTTCCAGCTTTTGTGGTCTGTGGATGCATTGCCACAGAAACACCAATGCTAGGTTGATTCCTCACATCTGTTGAGGGCACTGCAGTAGCCATGCTTGGGCCGGCGCTGCTTTCGCCACCGGTAACCAAGGGAGACTGGAGCCTATTTTTCGAACGTGAGCCTCTGCCTAACCCACGAACGCGGACCTTGTTAACCCGGGCGACGTCCGAGCCGGTATCACACTTTGATCTGGTTACTACCATTATGATTATCTCCACATAATATGGGTGTGTGGTCACTCTTAGCTTCATTTCTCCCCATAGACCTTACTGGCATGGGTGTCCCTACCAGGAGCTTGTGCTCCAGCCTGCATTGCCCTATGGTTCAGTAAAATTACTGGGCTCTCCCATCACGACCAGGTGGTGACCTCGGGAGAGTTATTATTATTATTATTATTATTATTATATATGATATATATACACACACATACACACAATATATGCATACATAAACAAAAAATAATAATTAAATAATCAAACATTGTTTTTTAAATAATAATAAAATATAAATTAAAAAAAACAGAAATTAGAATATATTTCAATTAGAAAAAATGAATCTTTGTAAAAATATATTTTTGATAAATTGACAACTTACTTGTAATGGTTGTTCAAAATCTAATTTAAATCCAGGAATTTTTTCAGTCCATGAAACAAATCGTTTTGATTCTTGATCAATGTAAAAATCAAATACTGTTCCTGAAGAAGGAAACTTTACAGTTTTGAATTCACTGAGCCACCATTTTGAAAATTCCACTCTATAATCTATTAGATGTTCTTGAAATAAACAAGCACCAAATGCCCAAACACAAGCAAACACAAAATATATTTCATATGTTTCTTTTGATAATTCTATGGAATGTTGTGATAGTAAGCAATCCAATAGATAACATAACATCTGTCAAAAATGAAAAAATTGATAGATAAAATTTTAAATCAAATAAAAAAAGTACATAGATTGTCCCATTATTTAAGTTTATGCTTAAAAATAAATATTAATAGCAATTAAAGTCAAAATTTTCACTTATCTGAATATAAATTTATAATTCAAATAAATAATTGACAAAAAAATTATATATTAATTAAATTAAACAGAAAGGAATGAGAATTAAAAAAATATATTGCTACAGAGATTTCTCTATAAAACAGTTCATAAACCATTAGTAAATAAGAAAAATCATGATCAAAATATGAATACACTGTCACAATAATTGGTGTATTAAGTTATAAATCAATTATATACAGAATATATCCAAATCCTGTTAGTCAGTTAATGTATTATTTATTTAAAATTTTTTAATAATATTTTTAAAAAATTAATATAGCAATGCCTGAAAATAATTTTCTGTAATGTAAGCAAATACTGTCCATACAGACAAATTTCAGTATTCTCCCCAGAAAACAATTTTAAGTGATCAGTCTACTTGGTTAGCCAGTGCAAAGAACCTTTCAAATTTCAGTTAATGACAATAAAATAACACTTTACTATAATATGTAAAGTATTAGTATGATTGTATATGCTAATATATAGTATGATTGTTTTTAAAAAATAATAACTGTAAATAAAATAAAATAAACATTTTTAACTGGTCAGAGGAACTATTTATCTAGTCAACCAATCAGCTAAAATTAGCTTGAGGAGAACACTACAGCTAGTATATACAAGAGAATATTGTTTTAACAGATCATAGAACAACAGATTTTACGGAATAATGGATTTTTTTCAATTAATGTAATTTTACCTCCTTTTAGTGGATCCGTAACTCAGAATGATAAATTTTTTCTAGCTCCATCTATTGTAAACTTTGCATTTTTTCATTGTTTGCACTCCCACCAGGAATGGCCCTGAACTTCAGTGCATGAATGATTAAACTAAAAGTACTATTTGTAATACTGTTCAGAAATGTATAGGGTTAAAAAAAAAAACTATCAATGAAACATCAATGCTCACATCAATGTATTGAAAATAAAGTTTTTTTTCTTTGCAGTGTGTAGCGTCTTTTTCTTTATTGAAAGATTGAAAAAACTATACTTTAAAGTAGTCTGACTCTGAAGAATAATAATACAATTTTTAAAATAAATTTTAATATTTTATTTCTCCCATTGTATTTTTGTTTTTATGTCATAATGTAACTTTTCCAAAAAGGGAGTCTTGAAATTTCCATATGAATTTTTTTGAAAAGTGAAGCTAGAGACCACATTTGACCATCAAGGCAAAGAGTTTACACTTTCACTAAAATAGGACATGTGGTTTATGGATAATCATACATGTATTTATTTTGTTTAAAAATAATAATAAATTGACTAAAGAAAATTCTTGGCATAGATCTATATTTTTATTTTTAAAATGTTATTTCATAATCATTAAATGATTTATAATTACTTTGTGCATGTCTCTTTTAAATTTTTATACTGGAAATCAATTAACTTCAATTAATTTATTTGTAAAGTTTTAAAAATAAATTATAGATCACCTTGAAAAATTTTCAACATACCTGAATTTGACTTATTTCTGTAACTGGTATAATTTTTTTAAAACGTTTTCTTGTTTGTTGTAAGCATGCTGGAATATATTTTTCAAAAAGTATCATCAGATTTGTTTTTTCTGATTGTAATTTTCTTTCTTCAATCCAACTTGTAACATATGGATTCCAATCAAGATCAGTAGGATTCAAATATAAAATTCCTGCTCTTGACACAGTTGCTGGAGTAGCTGTTTCCAAAGAAGCAATTTCAAATACAAGACGCATTGATGGAGTTAAAGGAATTCTTTCATTGCTAGCCAGTGTGAGAACCTATAATATTACAAACTGATTAATCAATTTTTAGAGACAATAAATAAATATTGTATAATAACAATATTTATTTATTTGTTTTATTTTGAATTTTGTTTTGTATTTTTTTAATTTGCATCCTTTGCTTTTTAATTTAATTTAGAAAGAAAATTAAAACAATAACAAACTAAATTTAATTAGTTAATTTCATTTGTTAACATTTTTTTTTGTTGCATGGAAAGGCCTCTTTTTCTCAGTTTGTTACCTTATCTGTAAATTTTTTGAATAAATAAAAATAAAACTAAATATAAATAATTTTATAATGGTTAATTTAAAATTCAACAATCAGAAATACACAAATATATCTATCAGTAAACATATATTTAAAAGAATTAACTTTATTATATAGTTTTAAATAATGTATAAATTCCGGCTTTCATTGCTGTTGTCATGTTTTTTGCTTACCTAACTGGAAAATTTGCATTACAGTATTTGGCATACAAGACAGTGATATTTCTTCTTTGTTTTATATGCACTGTTAAAAGTATGTTTTCATTACTGCTGATTCAAATTTTATTGATAAGTGCAGGTACTGAATAAAATACCAGCCCATTTCAGTGAACCTCTCAAGAACAAATTTGTAACATCAGAACTTTCAAAAAAAGAGGAAGGTACTGTTCTTGTAAATTTAATGAGAAGTATCTATTTAAGTGATTGATTCTAACTTGAATTTGGATGTAGTGCCGGAACAAGCTGGTAATATAGTTCTGACAATTCAGTTATTAAATTAACTTTGGGCAATAAAAACAATAGAAATTTGATATTAAAGAAATTTTTGGAATAAAGACTGAAATCTATGCAAAGCAATTTATCTGAAACCATTTTTTTCAGACTTCTGTCACAGATTTCACTACTGAAGGTGTAAACTTGTACTCTACCTATTTTTAGAAAAATTGAAAACAGAGAGTTACAAAATTAATATGCAGGATTACTATTTTATTGTTAAAAATAAAATATTTACAGTGGATTACACAAATGACAAATTAATTATGGTGCATTCTTTTTAGAATAATTGACTTGTCTTCTCATGGGGAAAAAATACAAAGCAATTTTTTATCAGTATATTCAGCTCATGTTTAAGTTGACTTATCGAGATTATATTTTTACAGGCCTGGGAGTGCCATTTCCCCTTTGAAAAAGTGAGAAAAGTGAGTTGAAATACAGAATAAGTGAGTAAAAAGTGAGTGCAATACAAGTAGCCCTCGGTTTATGCTGGCTCAATTTATGCCGATTCACAATAACTCCGCTGCGCAATTCACCATTTCGCGGTGTAATTCCCCAATTTTCCCTATGCTAGACTGATTTTCATTTCAGTGTCGACGTATTTACCGAGCCGCGACATTGTATATTAGTTACAAAAGATTTTCTGTTTAATATTATTGGGTATGCATACATTTGCATTAAATTAATATTAAAATACTAAACATTTAGGTACCCACGAGTCAAGTTATTAAACTTAATAGTCCAACAAATGGTGTCTGAATCAATAGTGCCAATGAATGTATCCCGTATCAGATCGTTCAGGAAAACACTTTACGACGCAGTAGCACTTCCAGCGATCACAAATCATCATTAGTGAGACAAATCTACTTTTCATTGGCCAGACGATATCTATCTCTTCTTAGCCACCTTCAATTTTCCTGCTCAAACTGACCTTATATATGGGCTAC